GGTCTTGTAGGAGATAAGCAAATTAACATGGCATGCTGATGGGAACTTGAATTTGAGACATCCGGCCTTTCATTTCATCTAAAACTCTCAAATACAGAGATAACCTATCAGATGTAGAGGTTAATTCTCTCCCTTTCTGAAATTCTGATTTTAAGCTGAGTCAATGGCCAGTAAGACTGGCATTAATGAATAGAACCATGCCAGTGAGATCAAAAGTTGATTTTCTTAAACAAAGATATATTCTTGATAAAACAGTCATTTTCTGGTTTAAATTCATTTTGTCACATTTTTCTCTATTGCATGAGCTTCTTGGTCTTTATATTGGTAACCAGTGGAAGGATAAAGTCAAAGCCAACCTCTGGAGAGGGGGCCCTTATTTCAAAAGATGAGACTTTGTGTTTCTCAAGTGATTCTATGGACACTATTACAGGCAGTGGATACCCAGATGACACAATCTGCCATTGAGCCACACCGCCACAGCAATCTTTTGTCCTACTCATACACCTTGAAGCTCTCAGAGGTATTCTGTGCTGGGGGAGATTTCTTTCCCTATTGTATCACTGCCATAGTGAGTTCAAACATACCAACAATTGTGAAGATGGCATAGGACTAGGCAAGGTTTTGTTCTGTTATATATTAATGTCTCCACTGGTTGGACTTGACTTAATGGCAGCTAAAAACAGCTGTACTACCAGCAGGGTATGACATACTCTGTGATCTGGCTCCTATTTATTTCACAGGCTTCCTAAAACACCTCTATATATTTCTATCGTCTTTGGTTGTTTAATTCTCTGGCTCAGTGTCTGGGGTAAATTGTGAGAACAATGGGAGGGCTTTCTTGCTCACCCTTTGTTCAATGAAAGTGACCAACATGGAAATTATTTCCTCACATAACTGTCTTCTGATATTGAAATTTAGCTTCTGTTTCTCCTTTTTTTCTCTTTGACTCCTACAATTCAACATCCAGCTTAGGTACTTCTAAGAGGCCTCTCTGATGATCCAAAGATTCCACCATTGTTCTTCCTCCCTCAAGCCCACTCGTTTGGTACAAAGATGACTATTGTTTTGTCCCATCTAGATGATGAATCCTGGAACACAGAACTAGATGTATTCTTTGTTCATCACAGTCCTGAATCTCATACATTCATTGTAGCCGTTATGGATTGAATTGTGCCCTTCAAATAACACATATGGACTTCCCAACCCTTGTTCTTATGAACAGGAATATGTTTGAAATTAGGGATGTGGATGTAATGAGGCCATATCAGAGTTTTGTTTTTCTTAAAAAGCCAACCAGGAAAAAACAATCTATTGCTGTTTGGGTCAATTCCAGCTTATCGTGACCCTATAGAAGAGAACAGAACAGAACAGAATCCCATACAGTTTCCAAGGCTGTAGATCTTTACAAATACAGACTGCCATGTCTTTTTCTAGTAGAACAGCTGGTAGGTTCAAACCACTGATCTTTAGTTAGTGACTGAGAACTTGACCACTGTACCATCAGAGCTCCTTAAAGTCTGTAGTTGTTGAGTCGATACCAGAATTGTTCGATACCATAGTGTCAACTACGACTCAAAGTTAATCTGTGAACAACAGATCCTGCACCATCCTCACTGCCTCTGCCATCCTGGAGCCCATTATTACAGTCATTGTGTCAACGCATCTTGTTGAGAGTAAAATGGTACTAATCACGTTCTTGTGGTGTTTTATGTAAAAGAGCAGAATAGAAACAGAAACTACACGCACAGTGGAGAACAACCAGCACATGTTGAATCTACAAGCCCAGGAACACTTGTAGCTACTAGAAGCTGAAAATGCCAAGAAAGGACCCTCCTCCACAACCAATGCAGTTAAGTTCTTCCAAAAAGAATTCGTCAGAGAATAAATTCTTGTTCTTGTGGTATTTTTCTTTATAACAGCTCTAAGTAACTAAGGCAGTGAATGTGTTAGGAAGTATGTAAATGGATGGAAGCATCAAAACCTGACTAAAATTTACTTTAAAAATCAGGAATTTATTATTTAATCATTGAAAACTGAGGAATAGTGCAGGTTTCAAGACTGCTTTATCCTGCAGCTCAATAATGTTGAAGATCCAAGTTCACTCCCTCCTTCCCTCTGCTCTGTCATCCAGCATTGAGTCACCCTATGGCTGGTTTTGCCCCTCAGTCTGGCTGGCTATCAACAACCATTAATGCTCTCTGTTCCTCACTGAGGTCAAGCAGGAGTGAAGCAGAAAGCTGGATTCGGTGTCTTTCAGGAAAGAAACCACTCTCTCGAAAGTTACCAACACATATATCCTTGACCCAAATCACAACCAAAGTATTTTCTTGTGTGAATCATTAGGTGAAGGGGCCAAGATTTCCGCTGAAGGGAGCTCTGGTGGTGCAACAGTTAAGACTGCTAACCCTAAATTTGGCAATTCATACCCACACAGATGCTCCACAGGAGAAGACCTGGTGCTCTACTCCAGCAGAGATCTACTGTAACCTAGAAGACCCTGTGTCACAGTTCTACACTGTCACAATGGGTCACAATGGGTCAAAATTTGTTCAAGGGCACCTAAAAACCACCAGCAGGCCTATTTCTGAGTGGACATGAATTTTCTCCAGTTGCTAGGCTGCAGTTCAATAGGAATGAGAAACAAAACACATTGAGTTAATTTCATTTTCTTGAGTTTTAACACGTGGATAGAACCCTTTAGAAAATTAGTGAACTGAAGTTATCGTGCAGAATAGGGCGAGGCTCAGATATACCATTCACAGCATTGTTATATGTCATAGTTGGCTTGCTGGCATCTGACAACAACCGCAAAGAGGACTTAGAATAGCCTTTCCTTCAAAAGGGAGCTCTGGTCCCAAAGGAACGGCAGCTACTGGAGATAAAGATGGGGAATCCTCTCCTTGGCAATCAGTAACCATGGAAATCCAGTTGAGGGGTGGGGTGGCTGTCAGCTAAGAGTTAGAACTAACTCAACAGCAATGAGAGTGAGTGAAAAAGAGTTAAGACCTCATTCTGAAAATCTAGAAAGGATGACAGTAGACAACTCAGACTCAGTTTTGTCCATTTCCACCTTGAAGTTCTCTTGAAAACAACCCCAGTTACTACAGAGTCTTAGAGACAATTCAGTGGTTGTGTGCCATCGTGGTCCAGGGGACCTGAGATAGGAACTGGTTGACCCAACACTCCTCAAACAGGAGTGAAAAGCAGCCAATGGACTGTGAGGGTTTGCCAGGTAAACCATAGCTCATGGGTAATGATGGAAAAGGTCCATTTGTGTGTTGACATTTTAGTAAATGGCACTAAGGCCAATTTTTAGGCAAACAGGCTCTTTAGCACATTTTTGTTGACTGAATTGCTGTTGGCAGTTTTCGCTTGTCTTCTTCTTTCCTGTGGACATGTTGCAGTCTAATGAGTGAAAAGCGATTGTGAAATGTGCCGTTGGACACATTTGGGTGTCAGCAGCTACGCAGGCTGGCTGGCGTGTATGTGTGTCCTCTCTTTCGTTGGCCACAGTGTGCAGACCTCTGGGTTCAACCTCCTGTTGGAGAGCCTTGAGCATGGTTGAATGAGCTGCAGGAAGCCAGGTCACCCAACCCGTCCTTACCAAGGACATTCCTCTTAAGCCTTCCCACTGGTCCTTAATATCTTTTTTTATTTTATGTCATACTGGTTTACATACAAAATTTTGTAAATTACTACCTAACATGGGAGGGACTGGAAAGCATTGTGCTAAGTGAACTAACTCAGTGTTATAAAGACAAATACTGTATAGGATCATTATTGTAGAGCATCTACAAGGATCTGGGGGTAGGTGGGCAGGTGGTGCTTAAACGTGGGGTCGCACAATTTGATGGGTGGAGGGAGGGATTGGTAAAGCTCCTTAACTTCTTGAGGGAAAACAAAACAAATTGGGTCAGTAGGGCTCCATTTGACCATTGTGAAAAGAGTTTTCCTTTAATGATAACCATTACAGGTAAGGGGCTGGCTCTTTTGAACATCAGCTTTCTCATACATAAAATGAGAGGCTTCTCACAGGATTATCACAAGAATAGAATATGAACTAAACAACTCAACACCATTGAGTCAGAACTGACTCATACCTGACTCTCAAGTGGATTTTAAGAGGTTATAAATTGTGTGGGAGAAGATTACTCTTCCTTCTCCTGCAGAGCAACCGGTAGATTCAAACTCCTTTATCCATTAGGCCACCAGAGTACTAACACATGGCCGAACTCAAACCCAGTTTAAGCATATGAACCCATTTTCATTGCAGCGATATTTGGAAAAATATGCAATATATACTTCAAGAGTTACCCAAATAACACCCCTTCTATCCTGTCTGAGACAGCTCTGGCAGCCTAGCCCATGGGAAGTTGTACTGCTAACTTCTTGCTACCAGCTTAGATCCATCAAGAGCTCTCGGGAAAAAAGATGAGCAATCTCATGCGATTTACAGCTTTGGAAACCCACTGGAGGGCCAGCTATGAGTTGGTTCTAACTTGCTGGTAATGAGCTATCCATCCTAACTTCTTTCTACCTACAGCTTCTCGCTGATTTTTACCACCTTGTGAGGTAATTGCTAAGACCTCTTGACTGGAATTTGTACTGGAATGCATACAAAGAACAGGCTAAGGAGAAACAAGGACTTAAATATGGTTATTTGTGAAAGCATCTTAAGGGAATTTTTCATATACACATGACAGCACAATCAGCAAAAGAAAGTTAACAAGTGGAGAACTTGTTAAATGAAAACACGGTTCATAAAAGTCTATTTTTATTTTTTTTAAAGAATGCTGCGTGCTGGTTTCCAGATATCAGTTCATTTAGTGCTTAGAGCAGAAAAGACACAGGCAACTTGTGGTTACACTTCTCCCTTTTAAAAGTAAGGTCCAGTTGATATAAACAAAGAAGGAAACTGTTAAAATCTGAAAATACTTGATGAATTTTGGATTGGGCCAGTAAAACCATGATGCTGAATTGAACAACTGTAATAGTGTTATCAAAGCAGGTTTTGAGAAAACAGAATTACATAATAGATTGATATATGTGGGCAAGTTCTCTGGTCGCCCTCAGCTTAATACTGCTGTAGATGTCATCTGCTTTGCTCCTCCGTGACAAAACCAATTAAAGGTCTTCAGACTCTGGGAGTTTGGTGGAATTCTTACGCAGGGATTGCAAGGAAAATGCTGTAGGAGAAATGGGTCTTGATTCTGGAAGATGCTCCATTCTGTATTTTTCAATGTACGGTGCGGCTACTTCCCAGACCTGAGAAGCAAGAATAGAACAAGATTGGAATGTTGGTGATATTGTTTTCATGTGACATTAAACATCAGCTCTACCTGAAGACGATGCTTTAGTTATACCTCACTAAATACATAGCAGCTGTTTGCTTGCTTTTAAGTCACTTGGCACATGACTGTGCCAGTTAGTCTTTGCTCACCTCAATGGATTTAAAATACAAAGCCCAAAATTTTTCTAAATGTTATTCTGATGAGTTTCAGCTATTCTGTCCTCCAAAACACCAAAATAAGCAAGCAAAGAATAAACCAAGAAATAAACCTAGAGAACTATGAAATAGTTAAGAAAATTGCCCAAGCTGTATATTCTGGAGGCTAAAATGATAAAAGGCAGTTTACTGGGTTTCCTTCTTGCTTAGAAATATATTCTTTTCTCTGAATGGGAGTAAAAGAATGCCTTATGTTCTGTAGATCTACAATCAACACCAGTGGTAACTGGAGGCAAGAAATCAAAAGAAATGTTGTTATGAGAAAATCTGCTTTTAAGAACTGCTACAAAATGTTAAAGAGCAATGATGCTAGTTTAAAGACTACGGTGCACCTGATTCAAGCCATGGTATTTTGCACTTGCTTCCTATGCATCTAAAAGCTGGAGAATGCTGGAGAAGAGTATTGAATATTCCTTGGACTGTCAAAAGAACGAACAAGTTTGTCTTGAAAATGCAACAAAGGTGCTCCCTAGAGCTAAGGATGGTGAAACTTCATCCCATATATTTTAGGCATGTAGTCAGGAAGGGCCAGTTCTTGGAAAAACAAGTCCTGCTGGGACAGGTGGAGGGTTAGAGAAGGAAAAAAATATCCTCAACAAGATGAATTGACATAGTGACTGTGACAACAGGCTTGAACATATCAGAGCTTTTGAAAATGGTACAGACAGTGCAAAGGCAAGTATGTTGTTTGTAGGTTCTTGGAGTTGTAGTCAACTTGATAGCACCTAACAACAACAATCTTTGAATGATACAAAACAGTCGATTGAGTTCCCTCTTTGTTTAGAACCTTTTTTTCTCTGGTCTTTCAAATGGGCTCATTTTGGTTTGCCCCTCTGCTGAGACTTTGCATTTTTCACCCCAGATACACTGAATCAGAATCCGTATTAACATCTACATTGCCAGGTGATTCTGCTAGACCCTAGGTGACTCTTATGTATACCAGTTCAAAGTCCTGTCTCCATCCTTACATCTCTGCTATCAAAATTTGGCCAGTAGACCAGTAGCAGCAACATCAACATCAACTGGGACAGGATCTCAGCCCTTAACCCAAATTTGGTATCCCTGAATGGTGCAAACACTCAATAACCACCTGACAATTGGCAGTTTGGACCAACCCTGAGGGTTTTCAGAAGACAGGCATGAAGACCTGCTGCTGAAAGGTCACAGCCTTTTTTCCCTCCTGTTTTTATTTTATATTGGCTTGCCTACAATGTTCGATACACTGTTCAACACTATCCTTAATTCATATTGTTTCATACAAGCATTCCCATGAATTATGTTTTATAAAATTAATCACCATTGGGCAATGCCCATCATTACTCTGTCTTTTCAGGTCCCTGCCAGATCTTTCTCATTTCTTTTATCCCCTCCTTCCACCCACCAAATTGTGAAATCCTGTGGTTTCGCCCCTGCTCATTCTCGTGAATCTCCCCCCAGCCCTTAACCCCTTAGGTCCCCATACATGTTTTACTAGTTATTGTTCTACTTTTACAGCAATGGTCTTCTGCAATATTTGTCCTTATGAGACTGAGTTAATTCAATATAATGCTCTCCAGTCTCTCCCAAGTTATATAATATTTTTCAAAGTTGTTGCTCCTGATTGCTGCATTGTATTTCAATGTGTGAATGTACCACAATTCCTCAATCCATTCAGTTGTGGTTAGATATTTGGGGTCACAGCTTTGAACACTCTAAGGAGCCTGGTTCTACTCTGTTGTTGTTAAGTGCTGTCAAGTCATAGAGGACTCATAGTGACCTTGTGAATGAAAGGCCTGTTCAGGTTCTACTCTCCACATGGGAAATCACCACTAATCAGAACTGACTCCTAAGCATCTAACAGCCACCACAGACCGACTGGCCCTGAATTTGTTCTTTCAAAGGCCAACCTTTCACACGTTTCTCTCCCACCACCAAAACTGGCCCCAGATAAGATGCTTTCCCTTGGGGTATGCAGAGAAGGTTTTGAAGTGACATGTAAGAAGATCAAAGAGGAAATCATTTCCAAGTACAGGGCAATGATACCAAAGGAATTGAATGATACTAGGAAACAGTATAGCAAAAGGCTTAGAGAACTTAAAACATCTTTATCTAAAACTCAGTGCCATCAAGTCAGACTCTCTATTATATAAATCATACAGGAGGAGGTTGTCTGTCTTTCTACCTCAAAGTCACTTGTAGATTTGAACCACCAGAGACCTAACCTTAGAGTTAGCAACACAACTCCCTATGGATCATGTTACCAGAGTTTCATGTTTGAAATCGAAGAAAAATTGATGGCTTTGAGCAGTTGTGGTGTTGGCAAAGACCACTGAACATACTAAAGGCTGCCCAAAGGCAAGCAAATCTGTGTTTGAAGAAGTGCAGCCAGTGTGCTCCTTAGAAGCAAAGGTGGTGGGACTCTGTGTCACGTATTCTGGGAATGGTGTGAGAAAGGGCCAGACAGTTTTGGAAAAGGACATCATGCTTGGAAAAGTCAGTGAGGGAGAGGAAGAGAAGCCCTCAATGGTATGGGGCTGACTCAGTGACTGCAACCATGGATTAGGCAGAGCAGAAGTTGTGAAGATGGCACAGGATTTGACAGCACTTCACTGTGTTGCACTTAAGATCGTTATGAGTTGCAGTCGACTCAATGCACCTCTCAACAGTACGCATGAGTTGTTTTGGTATATGTATATTGTTGGTAGTTGTTATGAGTCACTTCTGACTCACTTGTACTTCAGAGTGACACTTGAGCCCATGGAGTTTTTAGATGCTGTTTTTTCAGAAGTAGATGAAGAGAACTTTTGCCCTAGACACTCTGTGTAGATTTGACCTATCGACCTTTCAGTTTAAAAGGTTAAGCCAAGACTTAACCTTTGTGCTCATCAACAAAGCAAACTGCTACGATCTGTACCCATCAGCCAAGTCTATGGTCAACAAAGCCAAAAGAAATGAGTTAGGAGAACTTATGTCCCACACATTGAATTACTCTGAAGGAAAAATATGGGCAGTCAACTCCCGTGTGATTAACTACCTCTGAAAACCAGCTGCAGGGTCAGGATGGGTCGGTTCAGACTCTACACAACAACAATATCAACATGTCCTATCCGTTGTGATAGAGACAGGCACACATCAAAGCACTAAATAAGGCAAAAATCTGCAAGAGTGTTGTCCAGTCAGGTCCAGGTAATTAGAGCTGCTGGTGTGGTTATGATAGCAAGACAAGAAAATACTTTGGAAGGAAAATGTTCTCTTTCATTCTTTGGAAGGAGATAGAGGAACCTTTTGTTCATTTTCTCCTTATGATATTTGGCCCAAACCCTCATTAAAAATCAATTGTTCCTTCTAGTCCTTAAATATTCAATATTTGGGTGGAATCTAGGACATTTATGAATTTACGAAAAGGTTTCTTAGTGACCTTGCAAGCTGCATGACTAGCTTTTTGTTTACTTTACAAGGAACAGCAAGACCAAGACAGTAGCTCCCCATTCCTCCCTCCCAGTTTGACTTCCCAACTCCATAAAAAAAAAAAAGAAGAAATTGGTCACTTAGCCAACTTGCCTTCTGGTCTACCAGCAGCCGATGTGCTGCCTCAATGTCTGGGGCCATGAATCGGTCTTTTATCCAGGGTCTGGAGAAGAAGCAGACCAGCCAAACATTAACCACTGCCAGGTTCACAGGTCTGAAATGCTCTAGTTCCAGGCCTGTGTTTGACTTTACCTTACAACAGAGCGCACTAGGTCATAGACCTTCTCCAATGGAGTGGTGGTTCTCAGGGGGCGCAGAAATTCAATGCCCTGACAAGCAGCAAGGAGCTCAATGGCCAGCACTGAAATAAGAAAAGCAGAGACGGCTGATCATAGGTGATTTCGTGCTTGAAGAAAGTAGCTAACATTGAAGTTGATGGCCATTGCTAGTCAGCCAGCGACCATCATTGGCAGAATGAAACTGCCCCTATGTTTGTTTGCCTAGTTGAAACTCCTTTCATAATTTATTAGATGTAATCTTTAATGGTATAGTGGGTTGAATAATGTCCTTTGAATTTCAGATTTAGGATCATTGTAGATAAAATTAGCTAAAGATCTCAAGACTAAATCATCCTGGCCTTAGGGTGAATCTTAATCCAATGCCTAGTGTCCTCATGGAAGAAAACACCAAGAGGCCACTCTGTGAAGACAAGCAGAGAGAATGGAGTGAGGCAGCTATTAGCCAAGGGATGCTAAGGATTACTGGGGTACATCAGAGACTAGGAAGGGGCAACAAAACATTCGCCTCTGGAGCCTTCAGGGAGAAAGCATGGTCTTGATGACCTCTAGCCTTCAGAAGTGTAAGAAAATAGATTTCTGTTGTTTAAAACCATCCACTTTGTGGTAATTAGTTAGGGCCTACCAAGGAACAAATGTAAATGGTGAAAGGAGTCTCAGTATACCCCCAAACCACACAAGAAGCTGTGCTGCCATCCAAAGGCACACAGTTCAAATCCACCAGCTGCTCTGTGGGAGAAAGATGGGCAATCTCCTCCTATGTAATTCAACTGCTTCTGAAAATCTGCTAAAAGGTCAGCTGGGAGTTGGTTTCAACTTCGCAGTACACAACAATAACAACAATAAATAAAAATATACTATTTCCCAGAGCCAATATTCCTGAAACAGAGAGGCGAGGTTTGTTTCATCTTTTAAGGGGAGAAAAGAGTAAGTCCACCCAGTGTTGAGGTTGAACTCCAACTCTGTTAAGTAAATGTATGCCTGTAGTCAAGATCCTTTGCTTCTCACAGTTTCCATTTCCTAATCTGTGAAGAGACTAGAAACTACAAAGTTCCTTTCAGCTTAAAATGGATTCTGTAATTTATGATGTAATTTCCATGGTGACCTGTCTGTACACACCAGAGTTTACTGTGCGTAAATTTAAAGTCAAATGTTTTGAATACAGTATTTGAGTTACTCACTTAAACAATCTAATCAACTTTATGCATTTTAACTATTTTCTTCACAAATAATAGGACCATAAATGATTTAATTTTGTATTATACTGCTATGAAACATTCTTTTTAATCTGACTCTAGCCAATGTAGAGACATTTAGAGATCTGCGCCTTTTAAGTTTATCTCAGGATATGGCATATTTAATAAATCCTCGGCTAAGAATAGTAGCAGTATAATCTTGGGAAGGAGTCATGAATATCTATGGTGTTAGGACTTCACTAGCCATTGTCTTGTGTTTCTGAACTGAACCTGGACTTTCACTTTATTGACTGAAAAGCTGTTTGAACTAATTGAGGAATTATATCTTCTTCTTAGTCTAGCTTGACATTGCTGGACTAAACGTGGACTTTCACTTTGTGTTATTTTTTGTCTCTTCCACTTCCCAACCTATTTCTTTAATAAATTCCACAATGGTGAGTAAAGTAACATCTATGAGTCAATTTACAACAAATATTAAAGCCAGTGGCTGGTAGAAGTTGGTATATACAGGATGGTAGGAGGCCATGTTTGACCTTGTTTGGAATTGTGGATGTTATTTATTGGATCAGATTTGGCTGTCCTCACGCTGCATTTGCTTGTTTTACAACAGCTAAAAGAACAAATAAACCTGTTTTGGAGGAATTACAACCAGAAAGTTCCTTAGGGGCAATGATGGTGACACTTCATCTCACATACTTTGGGGATGTTTTTAGGAGGGGCCAGTCTTTGGAAAAAAGGAATCATGTTGGGATAAGTAGAGGGTCAGAGAAAGAGAGGAAGACTTGCAATGAAATGACTGACACAGTGACTACTATGATAGGCTTGAGCATGACAGGGTTCAGAGGATGGTGTAGGATAGGACAAGGTTCAGATCTGTTCCGATGAAATCGTAGTCCACTTGATGGTATCTAACAACAACATCACCACCACTTACTAAAGAATACACATCTTTCGTAAGGTCATGGTACAGAGTTACAGAGGTGAACGTTCATTGTAAATGTTCAACAAGGGTTGATGATAGGATGCTACTTCAAAAGAACAGTCTGCAAGATAAGGTCAAAGACAGACAAAAATGTGGTGTAAATATTTGCAAGATTGTAAAATCAGACTAACATTGGGGTTGGGAGGAACCTAAAAAAAGAGGGGATAAATAATGTATACATACAGCAGTGAAATGGATGAAGGAGAGAACTGTTTAAAAGGAACATTGGATTAGGTATTATTTTCATGACAAGGTTACAGAAAAAGAAATGCGTATTGAAGGGGACTATGGACTGTGGGGGATTGTATAACAATGAAATTTTTTTTTCCTTCAAAGAGAAAAATGAACTGGGAGGGCAGGGTGGGCAGGGAGGAAAATGTGCAACAATGAATGAATGGAGGGAAAGTATAATGGAAAGAATATGCTGTAAAAATATATATGTTGCTACCTTCATTCTGGACTCTTGACATAACCATAATACTGAATCATATATCGCTTTTAAACTGTTTTCTCTCTCATCGGAGTATACTTGGTGGTGGGGGTGTGGATTGCATACCAGTGAAAGAATTTTTCTTTTACTTTTCAAAGAGAAGAGCGAACTGGGGTGGGGGGTGTAGACAGGGAGGAAAAGGCAACAATGAATGACTGGAAATCCAAAATATCTATAAACGTTCAT